CCCAGCCTGGATTTGTGCTTGGGGTTGCAACATATTACTAAATGTGTTGTAGATCTGTCATAAGCACTGTGAGTACTGTTTTGTACTTTGTTTTGTTTTGGGTTTTTTTTTGGGGGGGGAGTATATTTAATTGAGTACACAACTGAGGAAGTGCTCAGTGGATCAGATGGTTAAATTAAAAAGTTCTGACATGAACTAAGAAAAACTGTAGATCTATTTTTTTCCCTTTCTACAATGCAATTAAAAACAAATATCCTTACTTATTCTGTATCAACCTCTGCACAGTGGTTAGCAGCAGGATCTGTAGCATCTCACAGGAAAATATGCCAAGCCTTTCTGTTTCTTTCTTCTTCCTAGCCATCCCTCCATCGTTCTTAATAAAACTACCTGTTCAATTTTGTCACGTCACACACGTGATTGTGCTTTCACATCCAAACCAATGAGGCTGCATTTAGGGAGCTGCAGAGCTGCACGCAAATAGGAGACGAGCAAGATAATGGACCATGTACTTGAAAAAGCAGTACGTAGGAATGATTGAGATTCATCTTTTGTCTCTGGTACAGAGATCATCTGAAAATGGCTTTGAACAGAAACATAAGATTTCACAGTGAGAGGAATATAGGGCCTTTGTCACATAATTACCTAGCAACATAATATTGAAATTATACTTTGAACTCATTCTTCTGTAAAAATGCAGAACTGTTATGGTCCCTTTGCAGATTAAATACATTGCCAAACAGATCCTTTTTGGTTTTTGGTCAGTACATTAAAAATCTTCTCCATACAATAATGCTTTGGGGGGAAAAAAAAAGTTGAAGTTAGAGTGGCAGGTAGGAGAAGTGTTGAAATGAAGAATCCATTAATAGCCTGAACAGAATTTTGTATTCCTGGGGCTCGCAGCTGACCACAAAAAACACTTCTGAGGGTTAGAGAAAGTGTTTATTACTGAAGAAGGATTTTTTTATGTTATTAGTTTGTGCGTTGCTGGGTTGGGCTTTTCAGTCCTTTTTTCAAGATTCTTCCCTCATGTTACAACATACACTTTCAAGAAAGCCTTAGCTCCAGGAGAGGAATGTGTACTTGGTGCATATGTAAATATTTGCCTAATTTGTAATCTTTCTAACAAGTCCTGCAAGATAAAAAATAAGTGCATATATGTTGCAGGTACTATGATAATTTGATCCAGGTACCTTACAGGGCTTAATTTACCCGATACTCATGAGTAGCATTTTGTGAAGTAGGTAAATGGATCTTGACCTTGTTTTGTTAAGTAGAGGAAGGTAATGGCCTGAAAGACAGAAATGGCATACAAGGAAAAAAAAAAAATCTTGCCCCAAAATGCTTAGAAAGCAAATTATTGTAAAAGTCTCATTGTACATTATGAATCTCAGTCAGAGAAAAAATTACCTGTAGTACTCATTCCACTGCCGTTGACAGTAGTCCAGCAGGAGCAGAACGTGCTTGGCAAAGTTAGGTCAGCACTAAAACCTTAATCCTTCAGTGGGAAATGTTAAATGCTTCCTTCGAGTTTCCCAGCACCCTTAAGTCCTTCCATCAGCTTCCTGAATTGCACCCACAGCACCTTCTCCAAGCATAGGAAACCAAGGCAAAAGATTTAATATCTATAAAAAACTATTTAACAGGGAGGTTTTCTGTGAAACATTTGAAGACCCATTGCACTGCACAGACCTATTATAAAACCTCTCCAAATCACCCTCTGAGAGCACAGCACCCTTAAAAGTATTGCAGAAGGCTCCGGTTGCTCACCTATCCTCACCTAAAACCAAGCAGTGAGCTAGAAGAGGAGGAGAATCTAGATGCTTTAGCAGTCCTCAGAAATCTGTTCTCCTGGCTTAGTACCCCTAATGATTTAGATACCCCATATCAAAACTGATTGTAAAATCCATACTCTGGATCGAAGCTCCTTAAGAGCTTCATGACCGTCCTTCCATGGAAGGATAATTGTCGGTGCTCTGAGCTTCTATCCTCGAAGTCTAAATTAAGAACAAGTCCCTGGGCTGCTGCTAGGCCCAAAGTAACTTCTCAGGCTTCGTCCTCTCTCTGTGACCAGCTGACCTGAGCTGCCCTCAGAATACAAATCCACTGTACCATGCTGTCAAAACAAATTACTAAATATCAGGCAGCACCACAGAGGAGACAGAAGCCAGGATCTTAGGGAAAGTAAAAGGTTGCTCTCCCACGCTTGCTGAGGAATTAAGGCAAGCTGAATGTTTTGGTGGGAGGAAAATATTCCCCTTTCCCCAAATGCCGCCCTGAGACTTGATCCAGAAAGTAATCAGGTGTGCCATGAGGAGAGGGAGTGAGTTGTGAGGAGGCTCTGCTGGAGCATCAGCCGCCTACCTAAGAAATGCACCTGACACACGGCAGCACGTGCGGGCTTCGAGGAGGGGACTGGGACAGCAGAGTTTTCTGTTTGTCCCCTCCATGGCGGAGGCTGGGTACAGACAGGTACAGACCACGGAGGAGATTTGTGCAGGGAGTGAGCCCTTGATACCTCGTTTCTCCTGTGATAGGGTCTGAAGCATGCGGGCAATGGCAGGTGCTTAGTGAAGGTGGGGCTGCAGGGGCAGGTCACACACAGTCTCCATCCACACCAGTAATGGCACTGGGAGCCACCTTGGGCTCTGGGGACACTTTTTTGCCTTTCCTTGTGTCACCTGCTGCCAGTGCCCAGAGCATAGTGGCAGCAGATGCGGGCAGGGCTCCAGCAGCTCTGGTGTCTGTAGGGTTCCTGTTCCCCGGTACCACCATGGTCGTGTACCTGCTTCTCCTTACTGCTCTGTCGAGGAGCTGCCTGTGCTCGTGGGGTGAATTGATTCAGTGGTTAAACTGACTTTTTATAAGCACTAGATGCATTTGGGGGAGGTGGGTGAGGAGATGGAACGGGGCACTGAGACTGCTCAAATAATAACAGAATAGCTCCTTGTGACATCTGGAGCGATATTCCCCGGGGAGCTAATACTGCCTTCAGTTACTGACATGTTTTCTGTTTTGCTCTTCACCTCTGAGTATCTCCCTCACTTCCCACACTTCCCACTTGTGCCATCAACTCCTGACCGCCTGCTCTGCCGCTTTCTTATAGGAGAGTGTGCTGGATCTGAATCCATTAGTGCTTAATGAGATAGATATTTAAAGCTTACCATTTAGGTTGTGCCCCTACATTCTTCTAAATGAATACACTGCAAATATTTACAAATCAAAAGTAAGCTCCTTTAAAGTGCCACTAAGTTAAGCTGATTCTACTGCTTGAACTAATATCTCCATATAGTTAAAGCAGAATTAACCAAAACGTGTGGACGTGGATGTTTCAGTAGAGACAAAGAGAGAATAAAAAAGAAAACTAATTTCCATCTGTAAAAGTCCTAATTATCTTGACATTTAAGAGGGTACCAGCTTTCCAATAAAAATACAAATGAGGAAATTTCTTTAATCAGAGCACAATATGCAAAACCTTCTCAGAACAGTCCAGGCTAAGGCAGACTTGAATGTTAAATGCCTGTAAATACTGGAAAAACAGTTTGTGAAGAGTCCTGGGGCTTTACCAGAGCTGATGCTCTGAAAGGCTGTGGTTTCCCCAGAACCCACCTGGTAGCTTTTGAACTCAGCGCCTGTTCCAAAAGTTGGCAGAGAGGCAGAGGTCTCAGAGGCCTTATGCTGTGACATAGTTCTTGAAAACTGATGGGGCAATAAGGGAAGAAGCCAGCAGTGCTGAGGAGGAGAGGTTTATCATGTGGGCATAATATACTAATAAAAAAGGAAAAAAGCTGCCTTAGTCCTGCTGCTTGTAAGATATGTTGGTTTTCATTTACAATGAACTGCAAGCTGATAGCAAAATCTGCCAGAAATCCGTGTTTTGTTAGTTTGTTAACAGTGATTTGCAATTTATGCATGTCTTGAGGAGACTTGGTTGTTGTGTTTGATTCAGAAGTGAGCTCATTTCCTTACTGGTACAGTTTGGAGATAGAATGTGTGCACTGTTCCTTGGTCCACTGCACCAGTTTTGTGCCATGATTTTATTAAAGATACTATAATATGTGTTAAAAAGACAAGCTGAGTATATTTGAAACTGGCATGCCAAATAAAATGTAGGGTGAACAGAGGGCTTTTTTTTTCTTGGAGGGGGGAAGCCTGCTATTTTTGTGTAATGAAACAATTTGGAAACATTCATAAGAAGGGGTCCATACTGGAACTGGACTTTGAACTCCTGCTCAATAGACTAGAGGCTGATGATAAATCATGATGAACCATGGAAATTACCTGATCTCTGTTGGAGGGTTGAAGGAGGAGGGAAGGAACTGATAGCTGCACAACTTCTAGGGCAGATTATAACCTCCTAACCAGGTTATACACCCCCTTCCCTTTTTATCCTGCTGAGAACAGGAGTCTCTTGTAAATGAGGTCTCCTAAATGGAGACTGCTGGCTGAGCGTCAGAATTAAGGACACAGGAGGAAAGACAAAAGAGCAAAGCCTGTTTAATTAGGATGAAAGATACTCCACTCCCCCCTGCTAAATCCTCCAATCCCAGTTTAGCAGAGCGTAGGGGTTGTTAGCACTGACTTGTTGACTTGGGTAAATGCAATGCTTGGCAGGTGAAGTAATTCATAATTAATTGTTCTTTGCTGCATTCTTTCCAATGCAATGACTTGTAGCATTCATGTTTATAATTGATGTTTTCTGTGTGCAGAAGCTTCAGGACAGCCAATTAAGACAGTGGAGGTGGTAGCTGTGCAGCATCTTTAGCATCTGTGTGTTACCAGCATGTGGGCTATAACTTTTTTTCCTTTTTGTCTTGTTTCTAGTGCCTAAAACAGTACATGCAGCTGTCCATTCAAGAAGGTTGTGGTTCTCCTATCACGTGTCCAGACATGGTATGCTTGAACCATGGGACCCTACAAGAAGCAGAGGTATCAACACTTTTTTCTATCTCTTTTTTTTAACATAAACCCCTCAAACTTCTTTTCTATATAATAAATTTAATCATGCACTTTTTCCTCCCTTTGATTACTTTTAATGATCTTTTGGCAAGAAGCCTGGCTGACAAGAGGAACTAGAAACAAACAGATGTTTTCCAAGAGTTTTCCCCCTTTTTACCTCCCTGTGTGCCCTGAGGAAAGACTTACTTGGCATCCAGACAACCTCTGAATTACCCATGCAGGTGACTTAACCAGAATACCCTGTATTCCAGAATTGCTGAGCCTCTGTTAGTACTGTGAGTTAAATCAGATTTGATTTGACTGCCAGCACTGAAGTTCTTGCACCTCACCATTCTTAACTCAAGAGCAAGAACTCAAACTGATGGTACACAAGGCCAGAATTTCTTTGTGTGTGTTTATATTGGGCTGCAATAACCAATTTGCAGCCCAATATAAACATGCAAGACTCTATAGTTACAGGGAAATAAAGGTGTCTGCACAGCACTCATGGAAGTAGGTCTTAAGAAATATGAGAAGTGTCTTCATACTCAAGGCAGAGACGGGAGAGGTTGAGAGCTCAGAAGGTAAATGAGGTTTAGGCAGAACCGTTTGTATGTCTGACACGTGCACAATCTCCCAGAGTAAACTGGAAGGGTCAGTTTGAAAGTTGGAGGTGGAGAAACTGGAGGGGAAATGTGCTCCTCAGACCTTCTTGCACCGCTTGGGACAGCGGGCTTCAAGCGGGCTGTAGATGGCTCCTACCAGGCTGCCTGACGGCTTCCCAGCAACGCTCACGCAGCCTCCTGCCTGACTTAGGGCTGGTGTAAAGCTTCTGCATTAGGCTTAGCACCAAATCCATGACGTGGGGAGAAGCTGTTGGCAGCGTGGCTGGTACCCTCACACGTGCCAGCTGCTCTGTGCATCTGCAAGGCCATGGAAGACTGTGGGCAAATCCGATGTTGCCCTGCGGCTGTTCTTGCTTGCTTGCTTTGGGAGCCAGGTAGGTCCCTGCTGGGCCTGGGAACACATGCAGGGGAAAAAAAAAAAAAACAGACCAGGAAAAAAAGGTGCCTCAGGGATTTTGGCTGGTTTTGTGCTTTCTCTCTGCATTTGTTTGCAGAGATAAAATAAAAAAAACAACAGATCTCCATGCCTGAGTTGAAGAAAATAACTTTCTTTTCTGGGTTCCCTTGAGGCCTTTGTAAACAGATGACATAACTGTGGTGGAAGTATATAATCCTATTCAAATGCAGTCAGTGGCAATGCAATTCCCAATACCCAAAATGCCTTTTTCTCCAGAAAAATCTCAGGATTTCCTCCCCAGCATGCATTGGAAATGCTGTGCTTTGCTGAATCAGGGCCTGGGAATTGCAGCTATGTTTGTTATGGCATGCAGACATACGGTGGAGCTTTTCTTTGGCTGAATCCAGCTATTGTGGAAAGTAGCCAACTGTTTGCCTTCCTCCTTTCTTCTGCATAGATCCAGAGAGGGCATAGCAATGTCCCTCCCACCCATCACACCGGATTGGAGGCAACTAGCCTTTACTGAAAATGCATTTTTTAAAGAAAATTAACAAATGGTCAGAAGAATTCTGCTCTGTTAAGCTGGGGTTATGATGTTATAGGAATTACAGAGATATATTTCCCCTTCGTAAAGCAGGAGGACACTCCAGGGTGTGTATTAATGGACCATTAGCTTCATCCTTGCCTGCTTTTTGGGCTGAAGGCAGAATGACTAAACAGCCCAAATGTGCATTAGTGTCCCGTGGATGGATGAATGTTCTGAGGCTCCCTCTTGGCAATGTGCTTGAAGCACAGACCTTCCCCTTGAAAAGCAAACAGGCCTCCAGCCTGGTTAAAATGAACTGCTTATGTATTTACCAAATACCTATTTATTTAAGGAAGAAAAGCCAAAAAACCCCTCAGGAACAATAGGAAAAATAGATCATCTCCGTTAATAATCTGGAAGATTAGTATGTTAGCTACAGATTATGTATGAGCACTCTCTATTCTTTTTTCTGTTCCATGTGAAAATGGGGCCTTTAAAACAGGTTGCCCAGAGAAGCTGTGGCTGCTCCTCCCTGGAAGTGTTTAAGGCCAGGCTGGATGAGGCTTTGAGCAACCTGGTCTAGTGGAAGGTGTCCCTGCTGATGGCAGGGGGGTTGGAACTGGATGAGCTTTAAGGTCCCTTCCCACCCAAACCATTCTGTGATTCTATGAAAAGCTGTTATTTAAAAACCAGAACTTTATTCAGATGATAGAGAACGTGCTTCAATATGACTATTGTTTGGCATGTAAGTACTATTTAGAATTACTGTTTGCTCATTACACACTCTGAAACTCCTGGTGTTAAAAGTACGAGCCTTCTCTGAAGGGTCTGGATGTTTGGTCTCTGGCTTCTGGCAGGAAAAGGTTCTTCATAAGGACAGTGCCATGAGGAACAAAATGTTGCCTCTACTGGGGCAAGGAGGGAGGGGGAAGAAATTGGTCTTTTTTTCTCCCCTATGTTAGCATCAGGGTTTTGAAAAAGTGTATTTTTCATGTCATGTCTCTGTTCCAGATTGTGCTGTGACTGACATTCACCAGGTACCATTGCTGTTTGGAGAAAACCTGTCAGTTCACACTGTCTTTGTCATGGACATGGTGTTAAACTGGTTCCTATACTTTGGGCTAAATTGCATTTAATTATGTTAGCTAAGGTGGTTGTTTTGTTTGCTTTTTAAATACCTTTTGCCCTAGCCTGCACAAGGGAGATAAGATCATCTTAGGCATAATTTGAAGTGAAGAAAAGCCTTTCCATTGACTTCAGTGCATTTTGGATCGAGCTCTTTTCAATAAGGAAACTGAACAATTAATAACAAAGCTTATAAGCAATTTATAACAAGCTATGAAAGTTCCTCTAATTCCCCCTCTTGAGGTCCTTATTCAAAGTGTGTAACATTTCTCTAGTGCTTTCCAGTGACCTGTTTGTCTTCATTGTGAAATAAGTCGGTTTTATCTTCTTGGTAAAATTCTTCAGAGTTTATCTTGTTTGGTACTGAATTATAAGAGACATTTCACACCTCTTGCTTTGACTCTGAGACACGTGCTTCTTGTGTTGCTTTTAGGGAGTGAAGGGGGCAAAAAACTCTTGATTAATATTTTAAACAGGGAATAGAATTTCTTCTTGTATGTCTCATGAAGAAATGAGCAAGTGTGAATAGTAGGAACGTGTCTCTCTAAAACAGTTGAATATTTCATCAGAGTTTGGGGAGTAAATGGTTTATTCATCAAGTACAGGAGATGTTGGGATGTTAAGGCTGTACTTTTGGTGAGCTAGACCATTGTGTCTCACTGCACCTCAGTGAGAAGATGTTCTAGGTTTTTATTCTTAAAATCTTAAAATGAAAAGTAATTTAAACTGAAAATAGTACTTTTCAGGACTTTGAAAATACATTTTCTGAAACCCCTGTGTTTGGTTGTTTTTTATTTTTACTTATAACAAAATCTAGTCGACACTGCTATGTTCCCCAGCAGGTTTGTTGGGTTTTTTTTGCCAAATAGTGTGTTCAAACAGAAGGAGTATTTCTACTGGAGTGCTTGAAATCAAGTGCAATCGTAGGTCATATCTCTTACGTCAAGATAGCAGCTGCTTGTAGTATAGCTGGTATTAAGTAGAAATAAATGGGTGTTGGCAGTGGGAAGGCAATGGTTTTTGGCTACAGACTGTTTCAAATAGCTGGTTACACAAAGAAAAAAGAAGTTTAAAAGCAATCTCGTTAAACAAGATGTTTGTCCTTTCAGGCTCTAATAGTACAATAAACAAAGATGATTTGGATTCATTCCTGGAAGCAGAAGGTAGAAGGAACATTTTATGTTAATGCAGTTCTCTTTAAACTGTGCAGACTGCTACTGTCTGCCTCTCTTGGGAATTTGCTCCATTGATTTAATTGGGCCAGTTAATATCCCTAATCTAAATAAGGAGTAATTTATTATGGTTTGAAACGGTTTTACTTGCTGCAAATCCAATCACCAGTGTAAGCTTTGAGTCAGGGTAAGTGTCAGCTGCTGCATACAGGGATTCCTCATGTCCAGGAGATTGTGCTTTGCTATTTCTGATTCCTGTATTGTTTTGAAGCTTGTAATGTTGATGCCACTGATCCATTTAAACATAATCTGATTCGGATTAAAACTGTGCAGCAGGCAGTAAAGTAGATACTGATTTGGGCTCTCCTTCTGCCTCTTAAGTTTGGCAAGGAGAATTACCCCTTTGCTTGCAGTGCAGATTCTGCTCCCTCCATCTGTGTAAATCCATGATGTACACCCATGCTAACCTGAGAAGGGGTTGTCAGCGCTGTGTAAAGTGCTGCTGAAATAGGACAGTGACCCAGATCTTAGAATTCTTAATTGTGTTATATCCCATACATAGCTGAACAAAAATCCCATTGGGAGTCAGTTTAACATACCAGTTTTATTTTTAATTTGAAAATTGGTTTACATTTTGCTAGAGGCAATTGAAATGGTAAAATGAGGAGGAAGGTGAGAAAATGTTGCAGGCTAACCTATCTTTTTCAGGCTCAAATTAAAATTTTTGTTCTTCTTATTTACTTGTTTTTAAATAAATCCAAGGGCTGCAAATGGGAGAGTTTTAATTTTGTTTTTATTTGTCACTAGAGAAGAGAAGAACTGCTTCCAGGAGAAAATGAATCATTTATATTTCATGATGACTCCAGTGAGCACGGTAGCCGATGAAGAAAGGTGTGGGTGTAATTTCTAACAATAAAGAGACTAAACCCCCATACCCCTTTCAAAAGCAAACTGTAGCTCAAGGTAAAACTGTTTTGCACTCCTTGCAAGACTAGACAGTGCCTCTGTGAGTGGGACTTCTGCAGAGGTGGCCAGTGCAACCCTTTGCAAGTAGCAGTCGCTGCTGCCAGCGCAGGATCTGCCCTCGCTGCATATCTGCTAAAGCAAGAAAGGGAGAAGCACTTGTCCTGGTGAACTTTCCTCCCTTGGCACTATTGAGGTTTGATTTATATGGGTGTGAAAGGAAGTTAAGATCTATGCAGTTTTCTTTATTGCCTCCTTGCATCTCTCTCGAAAGCCTGAGAATAGGTGGAGTAGTGATTTTCCCTTTCCACTGTGGTAGCCAGTGTTTGAAAACAGGGGAGTTGTTCTTCCTCGGCTCCTGGTTACTGCACTGCCCAGGTTAAAAGGAACAGTCTGCCCCTCTGTAAACTGAACCCAATTATTTCAAACCCTTTCATTTTTCTTCCTTTGCTCTTTTGTCTCGTGTAGAAATAGCACCCCTGGTTATCGTACCACATTTGGACACTTGGCAGGGATCCAGCTGGAGGCTTTTGTGGTAGCAAGCCTTCAAAATTTTGCTTTTTTTTCCATGGATATTTTTACTTCAGGTGAAAGCTGCTGTTCTTAGTGAGAGCTCTTATGTGTTCTTGTGCTCCATAACTAGGGTACTCTAACTGCAGACATTGCTTACAGGGTAAGTTTCAATAAGAAAACTTACTTCAACTCCCAACAGTCTGACAAATCTAAATCAATATCTTTTCAGGAGAGGAGAGTCCTTGCCTCTCATTTTCTTTAAGGGTTTTTATTGTAACTATAACCCAGTGGGTTTTTTTTAAAGCCCTAAAACTTGTCCTGTAGCATTTCTTGCTGCATTGAATATTTCATAGCCTAGAATGAGAAATGTCTGCTCTCTGATGTGCTCATGGTCTTTCTCTTTTGGCTCTTTGCCATCTGCTGTGTTGCTGGTTTGTTTCCCTCCCAGATCTCCATCCTCTGTCCATCCTCAGGGCATGTGCAGTTGTGCAGGAGAGGAGGTGTTTGGGATGGATTCCTGGGTGGGACTAGAGATGTTGGATGAAAATGAACATTTAGGCTCTGATGCCAAGTAGGAGGAGATAAATCCCTTTATTGTGCTTATGGGTGTCCTTCCTGATTAAGCGTAAATAAGATTAAAAGTTCACTGTGGAAAGGAATTGCTGTTTTTTAGGAGGAGACCTGATATGCTTAATTTTTATTTTTGGTTTTTCCCAATTGAGTTTGCTCCTAGAGCTTTGCTATGGCACTGAATTCAGGCAGCAGCAGATGGTGCTTTCCTTTTCTCATGCTTAAAGATATTAAACCTCTGAGGGGCTTCGGCTCAGCACCTCTCAGGTCAAACCTCATTGTGGGTGCTATAAGGACCTGATCTTTCAAATCAGAAGTTCCAGGCTGTGTGTGTTCAGCACGTGGGGCTGCATGCAGGGATGGGGGATCTAAGCTGTGGAAGAGGCTATGTAGGAAGAAGAGTAGGGTTGGGTGAAACTGGTGCGGAAGGCTGCCATGGTAAGATCAGGTTTTCACTAGGAGAAAGGGAAGCTTTCAGCACTGACTCTGCTTCCTATTGAAATCTGCAATAAAACTCCTAACTCTGCTCCCACTGGAATCAAAAAGGCTGATTTTTAATACACGGGAAATTCTGGGCTCAATAGAACTGCTCTTGAAAAACTAATTGTTAAAAGCAAGAACAAGAACAGAAAGACCCCAGACAACTAACGAGTTCACTGCAGTGGCTCTGGCAGAATTGAGACTCGCTCTTTTACTCTAGTCCTAATGAAGGAAAATCTAAAGTAGTTGCCAACGTTCCCCCAGCCAGAGAAAAGCAGATGACTTTTCTAAAATTCCCCACTCCCCCCCCAAACTCTATTTCATTTTGAAGCTACCCCGGGGAGGGGTGGGCAATACTGAAATGATGTGTCTTGTGGGTTTTACAGAACTCTGTTGGTTGGCTTCATTCTTTGCTGAAGCTGCTGAACTTCACTCTTTATTCTTTGTTTGAGTAAGTTATTATTTGTTTTCCAAGAGTGTTTCAGCCGACTTCTAATGAACAGATGAAGAGTTTCCCAGGAAGCTCTCCGCTTCTTACAGTCATATTAATGAAATATTGTTTAGCTGTGTACATACTTTTATATTAAATATATCTTACACCCTGAATTCAGAAACTGAATGAGGACAGTACTTTGACCCCAGGACAGACTTACTAGACTAAGGGTATGTTTTGTAAAGATCTGTTGGTGTTTTGATACTAAATCCTTTAATTTCTTCAACTGTAAGTCTTTCAAACACCTTTGAACACTTCAATCTTGACATCAGTTGGATTATTTTTTGTATGACATTGGGTTAGGTCAAAGAAATTATCCAAACATCTGCTTCAAAATGCGATTTTAATTCCAATTATTTCATATCTTAATAAAGCAATTTAATATTTTATCATATACCAGTGGATATATTATTTGCTTTTCTTTTTTCTATCTACAAATGCAGATGTATTCACAGCATGATACTGAATACGTTTTGAGTTTTTTTGGTTTTGTATTTCTTCTCATGAGGCCTGTGTCACACAACCCAGAAGGACAGCAAGGGACAGTGCCCACCTCACTGAGGGCAAAATTTTGCCTTTTACAGTAATCTGAAGGACTGTAGTGGGATACTGGATGTGAGGGTTGAGCATCTTTCACTTTGAAGCTGTCAGTTCTACCGTGTCTCATAGTGCTTTAAATGATCAAGTCTTGTATTGGTATTATTCTAGGTTTATTTTCAGTAAAAGAGAATGACATTTTCCGTGCTGGTACAATATTACAAATGGATGAAAGAGAATGATCTCAGATTTTGTGTCCAACAAACTTGTGGCTCCTGAAGTATCTGTAAATTTTCTTTTGAACCCCTCCTTGCCCTGTATGCAGGTTTGCTCATTAGTTTTAAATAGGGTACTTGGTTTTCTTACGTAGGCTGTTAATTGGAGATTAGAGCATTTAGCCTTTTAGGTTGCTAGGTTAATGATGGTAGTGTGTACAATGCATCAGCAAAGCCTGTTTGTCTACGCCAACTAGATTTATTAACTTCAGGCCAGTTCCCAGTGGGCTGGTGTGTGTCTAAGGCAAATTCCAACAGCAATGGCATTAACTGTCCCAGCCTAAAACCCATTAAGTGAATAAAAAGTGGAAACCAGACTAGCTTCTAAGTTCCTGAGAGCTAAGTGACCTCTGCCATTAAGAGTGGGAGACATGAATGAGGAACCATTCGTTTGAGCTGTATTCTTGGACATGACAACAGGCTGCAGTCTCCAAGGCTGGCAAGCTGTCACTCTTCCTTACGTTAAACCTACATGAAATAAAACTGAGAAGCCTCGAGTAAATACAGCATCCACAAACAAGGCTTTCCTATGCATGGTAAGAAAGATGTGAGCTGAACTGTTGGGCTGTGTGGCTGAAATAGGCAAGGTGAAGAACTACTTTACACTTTGGAGAAGGAAGTCAAGGTATGGAGGAACATGGTGGAGAAAAGCAAGCAGGAAAAGAAGGTGGATTTGAGAGCCAGCTCAGGAGAGCATGCGTGTAGAACAGGATGGTTATTAATTTTTTTCATGTTTCTGTGTTTTCTAATGCTTTTTCTGTGTGTTTGTGTCTCATTTCAGATTGCCTGTTTGGTGCCTGTTGACCAGTTTCAGTTATACAAGAGGCTGAAGTTTGAACGAGGTGTGAACCTTTTGATTTCTGTTACCTTAACTTTTAAAATGTCAGTAGAGGCAGCAGTGTTGTGTACTGCAAAGACAAAGCCTGTTGGGCCATTGAAGGAAGAGATGAAGAAATAGTTTTGAGTGCAACCACTAGGTCTGACTGTGCTCTACAGACAAATTTGAAATTATTTCAGTGGAGCAGAATCCACAGAGTGGCATCTTACTGAAATACCACACTTTTACTCAAGCTTGTGGGCAATACTCTCAGATTGTGTGCCTGAGCCTCCATCATCTTCCGGCAGCGTGCTCATCCTGGGTGGTGGTTGTACTGGTAGACAAGGTGCTAGAGGCTGGTGCAGGGCTCACACAATCCTTTCATACATCATAGGGATCTTTAGAAATTCTGAGGGACACAGAGACCCTGCAGTCTGATGGGGATTTTTGCAAACAACCCTGCAAGAGAGCTTTTCTTCTGTAGGAGCCTCGTGTGTGTTAATCTAGTATATTTTATTTTTTCCTGAGGGATAATTGGACCCCTTGTTACTGTGTAAGGCCTGTTAGTAAAGTTTGAAACTGAAGGTTTTACTGGGGCGAGGTTTTCCTATGCCAGAGGTCAGCCTTCTGCTTCAGGAGACAATTCCTTGCCAAGGCTGAAAAAGAAAATTGCTAAGTCCTGCAGTGAGCTCCTGTGATGGTTTTAAAGATGGACACCAACTTGAAAGTCTCAGCTGGAAGTTGCAGTGGTCAAAGAACCCACTCTGTGGTGATTTGCAGGGTGGGTGTTCGGGTCTGATCTGCCCTGGCCGTGACTGCTTTCAAACTTTCCTCTAAAGACTGTATTCGTGCTCCTGTTTTACCTGCATCCTTAGATGCAGATGGATTGGGACTCTGTATGAAAATGAAGAGGTTCACAGGAGTTAGGTACAGTAATGCACTTTAAAATATGGTCAGATAGAAGAATATATGGTTTTTTTACAGTATCTTGCCTGGCATGACGTATGCTGGAATGACCATGAAGTACGAAAACCACAGAATTAATATCCCCAGATATGATCCAGAGTTCATGGGCAGATGCAGACTGTAGCTATGGTTTGCATGCACTCAGTCCAAAAAAGACAAAAAAATCCCAAACCCTGCTTTCATTTTTTATTTCTCACTCCTATTTTACCTTCTTCTTGTTTACCCTTAATTCCTTAGGAAGTCACTCCTATTTGTAAGCCAAGCAGTAGCTTATCTGCAGCCTAGACAGTGGAAATCAGAGCTTGTTAAATCAGCGTATTAAAGGCTTAATAAAGAGAGGTATTCTTGCAATACAAAAATCTCTTTTATGTAAAACCTTTTTTTTAACTGGAGACTGTGAAACTAATGATTTCCTGATATCTCCTCCTCTATAACTAGCCAAAGCTGAACTCATGATCTTTTGTCCAACTCCCTATTACATTTGATTTTTTTTCTTACTGCCTCCTACGTACAGAAGCCTGGAACTTGTCTATTTTTTTAAATAAATCCTCCTTCCCTTTTCTTTCTTGCCTAAGTCTAACAAGTCCTACTCCACCTCCACTACCTCTCTTCATGATATTTCTAAGATCTGTCCTTTCTCCTTTATGATGAGTAAAACTGGCATCCAAGAGGCAGGCTTAATCCCTGGCCGTTTGGCTTTGCCTATTGGCCCCAGCAATAAATCCAGTTTACTGATGCCTGGGAACAACATTTCTTGCTAACTCGGGCTCTGGCTTGGACACCAGCACTAAGCCCAGCCCCAACCAAGACCTTTTGCCAATTCTAGATTTAGCATTGTCCTCAAGGGGAACTGCCCTTTTGGGAACTCATCAGCTGGACCTGGCTTATGAGCTTCTGCTGGCCTGAAGCTTTGTTCTCAGACCTGACCCCAGCCTGGCAAAGCCTGCCTGTCCTGACCAACACCAACACTGGTCTGATGGTCTTGTTCTGCAACTAGCAATAAACCTTCCTGATGGCACCTGCTGGGGCTGAATTCTGACCTGGAGTCTGCCCAGCATCTCCTGGCAACTGAGACCTGACATGTGCCTTGTGTCTGTGTCAACCATATGGTTGGACTCGATGTTCTACAGTTGGACTCTATGATCTTAAAGGTCTTTTCCAGCAGAAATGATTCTATGATAGCACAACCTAGCCCTTTTCAAATTCAGCACTACCCAAAGCCCAGGCTGCTGCTGCCTAACTCTTGCCAACCACAAACGCCGTGTGCCTCATGATCCTTTCTCACACCAGCCCTAAGCCAAACTCAGTCGTGGTTCCTTGACTGAGCATCAGACCAATTAATCAATCTTTGTGTTGAACCATGGGCCTTTCCCTAAAAACATGTGAACCTCCACTTAGGATGCAGCCAAGTGGGCAGAGCTGATGTCAGCCAGAAGCTGGACCAAATACATCTTCTGAGGGCCATGAATTAATTTGATTGACTTAACGAGAACATTTTGAAGAACCAAAATACAGCATAATAGTAGCACTGCTCTTATCAGCCTTTCAGGCTTCATTTAAAAATGAAGAAAACCTTTATATGTGAAATATTTTGAGTTCCCTTTTCTTCTTAGTTTTCAAGTTTTATCTTCAGACCAGGTGCTGGGGAAGAGCTGGCTTGGGCTCACTAGGTTTTTTTGTTGCTGAGGGGAAGGAGTCAGCATGGTAAGGGGAATAGAGAGCAATGAGTTTTCCAGACCTTGCTGTCTGAAGTGTACCATCATCTTTTCCATGTTTGCAAATGCAATAGGACAAATTCTGATTCTTAAAACAGGCAGGTGCTACAGTGTTCTTCATGACTTTTGCTCTGATCAGCAAAGCCCTTTATTCAAACCTTTCAGCATCCTACATTTGGAACCTTCTTCTCTCAGCTTTGTTCTGTTGAGATGTGGGCTCTCTGCTTCAGCATCCCCTTTGCTTTACTAGAAATAAATGATCAACTTCTTGGGTCATCTTTATGCTCCTGCTCTGTAGTCTTTGCTCACCAGTCTTCAAGCAATTGGTAAAGCCAATGCTTCTCACCCTTCCAGGCATTTTCCATTGCAGGATGAATTTTGAGGAAAATTTTGAAGAAGGACTTATACATCCAGAAGTTATCTTCCTCATCCCCTGTCTGTGCCAGTTATTTTAATAAAATATATTTCCTGTCCCTTTCTTTGTTTTTTAAAAAACTAGACAGATAATATTGGATGAAAAAAGTTGTGAGAAGTAGTTGGCATATGATTGTATACACTTTATTAGTTTAATAAGGAATGCAATGAAAATATTCTATCCTCTTGGGGTTTTTGTGTTCTTAGAGTGCAAATGTTTTCAGGCTTAAAATCAAGCTTTCTTACATATCTGTAACTTCTCAGTATCCAGTCAGGACCTTGCCACAGAGCTTCCGTGCAGCATATTTTAATAGAAGAAACAGGAATTGCTCTGTCTCTGTTTAGGATGGGGTTGATGTGGTCATCAGAAGTAACGAAACAGAGGAGTAGGATGTGGTTAGGACATTATGCATTATATTTCTATTTCTGTAACAATTGCCCAATAGGTCAAGTGGTAGATGATGAGAACCTCCATTTTATGTCTGATTGAAAACTAGTCCATTTTAAAAGGAGATATTCCTGATATTCTGTGAAAGGCACGGGCTCATCTTTTCAGTGGGTACCTCTCCTGAGCCAGAAATTCTCCTTTCTTCGGGGTGCTGCATTTCCCCTGTCTGTCTCCCCGATCTCACCTGCTTGCTTGTGTGTTTTGCAAAAACTGGCCAGATCCCTGTCGTTACTGGCGCTGTTTTGGAAGGCTTTCCTCCTGAGAGTGGGGTGAGCGTGGCTGAATTGGCAGTGGTGGAGCAGAGGAAAGGCTCAGGAGAGAAATGGACCAAACCAAAAGATGGAGCAGCTTGTCAGAGCAATATTTTGCCTTTTTCCTTTTGTTTTTTTGGCTGCTCCTTTTTAGTTTTTTTCTGGTTTCACTTGTACTCCATGGTAAACCAAACAGTATGAGACAACATGGATTGCAAAACACCATCTGTAGGTTCTTTGTAAAATGGAGGAAGTGTGAGAGGAGGGAGTTTCATGTCATGCATTACATCTTGCTGCAACAAGTTGGTAGAAATCAGTAAGATTTACAACCCAACTCCCCTCCTTCCAATGATGTCAAAACCAGACATCCTGTCTTTCATCCAAAAACAGGATAGGAGAATTTAGGTTTCCAAAGTTGAGTATGTTAAGCAGCTATCTGCAGGAACTCCACTTCATCTCATTTTAACTGCTGTTTAGCAGGAGAAAGCGTACAGGACCTACTGCAGGAAGACTTAAATGCAATAGCCAGTACTAGGCCATGGTCTTACCCAGTTCAGAGTTTCTTTTAAGGCACACCTAGGGAAGCTACAGAAATAATGATTTCTCAGTCAGGACACTACTTTTTAAAAGTATGTAAAAATGCAAAATGGCTTATACTGCCCATCCATGTCTCTCTCTTCTCCCCACAAATGAAGCTGCAAAGTGTTTTGTTGTGGCGTTCATTCAGTAGAAGGCAAAGTGTTTGTTTTGGGGGGCAAAGGAAGCACGTGAAGGAGAATAAGAGGAAATAATAAGAGGAAAGAAGGGAACTAGATTGATGAAGTGGCTGGAGGTAGATGTTACAGGTGTTTTGCTTGCACTACCTAGACAATAGATGACAGTCTTTGCCATGGATGTAGAAATTCTGCACAACTGTCAGACCACTTTGACACAGACTTAAAAATTACCTGTAGTCAGAGCACTGTGTACCTGTGTGTCCTGCAGCCAGCAGAGAGGATGATCATCCTTAAATGGTTCCTCACCATCATTGTCCTGGGCAAAAGGGAGGGAGGGAGGGATGGCTTTAAGGACGCTGGAAATTTTCAAGGTGAACAGAGAGGTTTGGCATACTGGAAAATAATTCAGTTTCTAGTGCACGTCAGATTATGAAATTTGTGGGGTGTCCTTCTCCCCAGGTGTTTATACGGGTGTATCTAAATGCTTGAGAGCCTGGGAGAAAGTTGTACTTCTTGGAACACCTTTATAGTTGTACAGTTTCTAGTTTCTGGTTATCTGGACACTGAACTGGTATCACTGGTTTTGATGCTGACTGGAGCATCTGCTCAATATCCATCCACCAGCCCCCTTCACTGTGGGCTACCAGCAGTCTCCTGCCAGAGGAGCAGTGCAGGCAGGGGTGTGTACATAGGAGCAGATCCCTTCAACTGGTTCAGCAAAATTTTCCAGAGAACATAAGTCAGGAGCCCTTGTGCAGCCTTTTGTTTTAAGTGGGACAATATTTTAACTGCTGTTAGAACATTGTAATGGCTTTTGACATCTCACAGTCAGGGATCTCCACCTGTTCGTGAGACATCCCCTCCATCTATTTATTTTCAATGGTGGTACCAGAGAGCTCCCAGGGAAGGAGGAGATGTAGGTAGCTCTGCAGGGTGGGAGCGCTCTTCTCAGTGGGTGCTCTTCTCAGTGATGCCCAATGGTAGGACAAGGGGCAATGGGTGTGAGCTGGAACACAGGAGGTTCCACTTAAACTTGAGAAGAAACTTCTTTACTGTGAGGGTGACAGAGCCCTGGGACAGGCTGCCCAGGGAGGGTGTGGAGTCTCCTTCTCTGGAGACATTCAAGACCTGCCTGGACGCCTTCCTGTGTGATCTCATTTAGGTTCCTGCTCTGGCAGGGGGTTGGACTGGATGATCTTTCGAGGTCCCTTCCAATCCCCAACATTCTGTGATTCTGTGAGTGTTTGGCTGCACCTCATGGACCAGAGCCAGTATAAAGCGTACACACAATGGGCTGCTCCTAACAATGAACTTATTTTAGTTGTGGTTCTGTTCCAAGCCCAAATTCCTGGAATAAAGGTTGGGGAGCAAGAGGAGGAATCAATCATGTCATTCACTGCCCTGCAGTGATGTCCGTAACTCAGTGTCTCCACCCTGAATCTTGTGTTGACTATTGTTGTAATCTGGTGCCTGAGAAATAATGTTCATATAATAAAGTGAATATTAATTGGAGTTTGTAGATAGAAAGAAGGAAATAAGGCATGGAAAGTAACTTGACATTAATTCATGACAGTCCCTCTGCTATTTACATGAAAGATGCTGCGTGGCTTGCACACATGAAAGACATGGAATGGCCTAATGTCACCAGACACGTGCTTCTTAGCAAGCAGCAGTTATGTTTGTCTTTTTTACCTCCCTGTAAAGGCAAAGAATATGTCCCAAGTTGTGTGTTGCCATTCCTGCGATGCTTCCAGTGCGGCTGCCTCTGCAGGGCGCAGTTGCAGACCTGCCTAAAGAAGAGGAGTAGGCTTGAATGCCCGTGGGCTCAGGAGGCTTCAGCTTCCCCACCCACGTGCAGAACTGCGTCTTGCACACCTAGACACACGTTGCTGGAATGAGAAGGGAACTGTATAAACTTTTATTTTTCTCTCTCTGTTACATTTCAGAAGTCTACTTGGACCCCCAAAGAACGTGGTGCCCTGCAGCCGACTGCCAAACAGTGTGCTGTATTGCACTGAACAAGTCAGGAGCACCGGTGCCGGTGGAGTGCCCAGCTTGCCACCTGATGTTTTGCTCCTCTTGCAAGGACACGTGGCACCCGCAGCACCTATGCCAGGAAAACCAAACTACTCTAGTACCAAGCGAGCAGGGGTAAGAGGGGAACCCACGGAGGCCACACAGTCTTTTGGTTCTTTTTGGCACAGAGGTAACACCTCACAAATATTATTTGGCTACTTATCACACTTGGGATGCCATTGACACTTCTGAAAGGTGAAGCCCTCCAGGGCTTTGGATCTGCCTAAAAGCTTTGTTCACATGCTAGAATTATAACTTGTGTCCATACAAAAATTACAAAACACTAATATTCAGAATCCAAACTTGGCTTATCCTGTGATCACCCCTGCTTACTATTTATAGAACCTCTGTATAGAAGGATCTTAACTCTTATGCAGAGTGGGTGTAAAATGTCTCATTTGGTGTGAGAAATCTGATTCATGTTCATTTTACATAGGTGTAAACAACCTACAGATAGGATTACACAAGGTATTAATTAACAGGAAGAAAACGCTTTTGTGTTTAAATGATATAATGTCTGTGGCCATCCATCTTTGTTTTCAGAATCAGATTACGTTCAGTCATGTGTATTCAAAGTTTTCTATCATTTTTTACAAAAAAATAAAGACTTGCTTAAAATCTAAGCATTTTGCCTGCTCCAGACTTCATTGAATAGGAGTTATGAAAGAGCTCTCACTGTAATTTTTCTTCTCCAGGTTTGATCTGTGGCTTGATTTTGGTGGATTTTAAGGCTGTTTTGTTCAGGCAGGGACAGTGCTGAGTTGCATAATCTAGTCCTGTTAAATTATTGCTGCAAGCTGCCTTACAAAGTGGTAATTTCTAATGCTCTAGGTGATACAATTGAGGGTATAGTGAGTACTGGTTTTATGTAGAGAATGGAGTTACCCTTTTACATGATATTAATAATTGTACACCTAGTAGTGAGTATATTTCACTGCGTTGTATGCATTGAACAAGCTGCACACATTAAGTGCATTAAGACAACATTAGATGCTCTGGAAAATAAGCACAGTGCACATTAGACAATGGAGCTGAACATCAACAGTAATTGCATTCACATTTCACTTTAATGTTTTCTTTCTCTTCTAGATCACTTATTGGAACGGAGACAGAGACACCAATTAAGCAGTGCCCAGTTTGTAGGATCTATATTGAGCGAAACGAGGGCTGTGCTCAGATGATGTGCAAGAACTGCAAGCACACGTTTTGCTGGTACTGCCTACAGAACTTGGATGTAAGTGCTGGATCAGAAACCACCTAGATAAATGGTAACGGGGTTGGGGGTTAGTCTGAGGCCCACTACAAGATCTTCATCAACTCATTGATATCCCAGTGAACGTCTTGGCTCAGTTCAGCTTTTAACTTAATTTCTTTCTTCTTGTTCATCCAATGCTTTTATTTATATCAACATCCTTTTTTTCCATAAAGGATCATAGCCATGTTTGTGAGTCTTATGGTAGTTCTTTGAGGGAAATGGGACAGCCTGGTTGCTTTCTGGAGTTTTCATTCCAGTACTACCTTCCTCAGACTCCCTCTTCCAGTGCAGTAGCTAAAATCAGTTTGGTTGAGAGCCAGGAAGTGTCTTTTGCCTGACCCAATTGCAAGGGTCACAGTCTGTCCAAAAAATGGGGTATGGTACTGGGTGAAGGGGGACGCGTTAAGAGCTCATATGGACTAGGTCTCTTGACTAGTCCATCTCTAGTTCTGTGTTTGCTGAAGATAATGATTGGTTAGTAGGCTTGAGGATAAATATGAGCATGGATTATGAAGTCCAGGTTGCTAGTTATTTCTTAGGTGATACCAATTAGTTTCAACTCATGTGGACATCATGTTTCGATTAGAAGTACAGGAAGTAATGTGCTTGTGTATATGACAGCTTCCCTTTTTGGCACAGTCATCAGTAACAACTGTGGGAGTGTGAAAAGGGCTTCACTAGCACTTGAAATAAAGTATTAGTTGCTGCATGGCTTTTCTTTTCTTCTTTTTCCTACTCCATAGCCAGCAAACAATGAAACTTCCTCATTCTTTATCATTCCTTTTCTCAGCATGCTAAACAGGTTTTGCTTGGCTCTGTGTCCCATTTCTGTCCGTGTGAGCGTGCTTTTTCAACACGGGTCTTACGGCTTGCCTCCGAGTACACGCAGTACACAATGATTGCTTAACACTCTGCTGAGCTGGGAGAGTCTCAGTTTCTCACAGGCAGTTCAAAGGAGAAAGGAAAAAAAAACAACTGTAGTTGTGTGATTCCAAAGCAGTTTTTTTAAACGTGCAGGGTTACAGGAGCTGCAGGTGTAGATGAAGGTGATATTGGCAGAGCCGAAGAGTAAGGCTGAGAAATGAAAGAGGAAGCAGCATCAGGCTAGGGGAGGGTAATGCAGGGCATTAGTCACCTTCTGAAGATAAAATGGATAATTTAGTAAGTATTACTGGGAAAAGAGAAAAGAAACAGGGATTTCCTACTTTTTAAATTTTCCTGTTAAGCCTAGGAAGAAAATGACTCTGAAATGCAAGGACAGCCGGAGAACAGAAGGTAGAAGTACCTCAGGAAGATGATGCTTCAGATTTCTAGCTTTCCAAGATACCTGTTTTTTACAGGCCCCCTTATCTTCACCAAATTACAGACATATACTTGTGCAATAGGTGCACCACTTATGCTTTTTAAAAGTGGAGGAGGAAAGATGCTATACAGTAGGTCAGATCCCAAACACACCACACTTTTTGAAACTGAAAGAAGTTTCTCCAGAGAATTATTTGGAAACCAAGTGAAATTGTCTGCCAGCAGCTGGTAATTTTAAAGGAGTGTCGGGAAAGTTGTATTTCCAGTCCAGTCTTGAACGTCTCCCTGCAGTACTGTAACTGCACTTACATCTTCTCCTTTTGTTTTTCAGAACGATATCTTCTTAAGACATTACGACAGAGGCCCTTGCAGAAACAAGCTGGGCCACTCACGGGCCTCGGTGATGTGGAACAGAACACAGGTGCATTCCTAGTCAGCTGAGCAGAGTTCTCATGCATGGATGAAGCAAAGGGATTTTACCCTTCAGTGAAGGACCAAGATGTTTATTTTAGTATTTGCATCTCTTTTCTGTTTCCCTGTGCCGTGCTTATGCATGCACACGTGTATTTTATTTTCCACATTAGCTGAATACCTATTTTTTACCACCATGTCTTTCAGGTTGTGGGGATCCTCGTTGGACTAGGGATCATAGCATTGGTGACCTCTCCCTTGCTACTCGTGGCATCTCCGTGCATCATCTGCTGCATTTGCAAATCTTGCCGAAGCAAAAAGAAAAAACACGGCCCACCAACAACTTAAAACTCAGTGTCTGTTTGAGCCTCCACCTGTACAGTGTACGTGTGTGAGAAAGCACAGTGGTTGTATTTTGGTGCCATACCTACCAAATAATACTCCCTTTTCTGCCAATTCTTGGGATAAGTGCCTATTCTTTACAGGCTACTCAATCACTAACAAATCCCAGTGTGGGAAAAGTCTAGATAATTGTGCAGTACATATGGTATAAGATTTTGTTTTATAAAAGGAAAATGGGACACTTCAGTAGTTCATACCCTTACATATAAGCCACCTTCTGAGACTGCTGGAACTTAACCATTTCCATCAGCTGCACATGATCTAATCCTGCAGTATTACTCTGCCTTTGCAGACCCAGCCATTACTGGCATGCTTTCTGTTGGCTCCTAGTGACACTCAGATTTCTCAGAAAGTTTGGGGTATTTTATAAAAGGAGGAGAGGGAAAAGCCAGATTAAGTTCTTCAGCCTGCTAGCTTGTGTCTTGATAAAGGTAACAAACCGTTAAGAAAATATACTTGACAGTATCCTGCCAACTGGCTGCTTTGGCATTTCTTTCAGCTTTGAAATCAGTTTGATTTATACTGTTGATCTCAATTATAGAAGTAAAAACCAAGAAGACTATTTCTAACTAAGGTAGAGCTCTCTTTTGAGAGACTGGACTGCCTTGAGAGAGCTGATATGTTTTCAAATCAAACATGACATATCTACAGATATTAGGAGTATAGATATTTCCCTGCCATGGAGCATGCCTTTTGTCAATAACAGGGGTGTAGTAAACTCCCCACAACGCTAGTATTTTAAGAAAGGCCATGATACAGCTCCTGTTTTGTGTGCAGTATTGGGATTTTGGTGATGTGTATATAGAGGCCACATGTGTGTGGGTATGTAATGCACAGTTTATTTTCTAGGCAGTCAGTATGTTTTTCCAACAGTTTATATGAGGTGGCAGCAAGAACCCTGTTAAAAACTGACACAGACCAGGCTAAGCCAAACCCTCCTTTAAACCTGATCGACCTGCTGAAGTGAATACTTGAGAAATGCTGTGTAAATGTCAGCTCTGTCCATTGCTGGGTATTTCTTCTGTCCCACTCAAGGTTAACAAACTCTGTTACCAATAATTTTTTAGTTACTCTAAATCTGAAAGGCTGTCATTTAAATGAACACTTCATTTTAATTTGGTGCCTCACCACCAAACCGATTCAGAGCCAGCTATCAGTTGCATGTGTGTAAGTTCACTGAAGAGCTGGAGTTACTCCAGGCTCTCTCAGAAGTAGCTGAGATCAGACTCTGCTCCCCAGAGTTTCTTTCCTTAGCGACTGGTGCTCCTCACAACCCTGGCCGGTGGCGGCTTTTGTTCTGGACTCCCATCTGTGCATCTTCTGTCTGTGGGAACTGATCCAAGTTTGCACTATATCATGTGTTGTACTTCCAAACCCTTTTTGAGAAGGGCTGCAAGGTTTAGAGGAGATGCTCAGCCTGGCATCATGTCGGGCTCACTCTCCACCCGTCTGCCCTCCTCCGTGCGAGGCACCCAGAGAGCGCTGCGA